TCTCCAAAGTTAATGTCATGCATTAGTATTATTATTTAGATCTCAATTCTCCTCTTCCTAGGATGTGTGATGAGTTTGCTTAATTTTTAAGCTCAAGGATACTAGAATCAATATTATTTAGCAGATTCACACAGGATTTAATGAATGTTATTCATACAAACTTTTTGGTTAAGGTAGGTTTTTTTTTTTAGACTGTAGAAAAACATAAATTGTCTTTTATCACCTCTAAATAAATGTGTAGTCATGATATTTTAAAAAATCATGCAAAAAGTGAGGAAGATTTTTCGGAGGTGTGGAGGATCGTTACCCCAAAATTTTATTACTTACATTAGTTTTATTACATATTTTTATATTTATTTATTATTTACTAATAATATATTATTTCGTTATCACAAGATCAATAGTCAATATCAACATGTAAAATTAATTATAATCTTTAATAACAACTTTCTCACATCATTCGTGTACTGTGCTTACCATTCTTCATTTTACCAACATATTCCCTCTTCTAATACACTCATTAACTTAGGTTTCAAAAATAGGAATTTCAATGCAACTATAAACATGCATACGATAACTCTATAATTCTTCCTATATTCGCATTATGCCTAGTAAACTCTTGAGGTAATAGAAAATCATCTTTATTGTACCATTCCTCTAAAAATACAAATTGACCTCCATTACTCCTAACAATTAAAAGTTCCTAATCATCTACAATTATTCACACTAATAAATTTCAAACAAACTAGTATATCTCCTTTACCAAAATTACTATTTTTCCTATTAAGTTTCTTAAATGTTCTATCAATCTTAGGATCAAATGAAATCAATCTTAGGATCAAATAAATGTAATAAGTGTGAATTAGACATGGTCATACAACAAGAAAGCTAGAAATTGATAAAAGCTAAAAGTCAAAATTAACAGTAAAGATCAAAACATTACCCAATCACACCAAAAAAAAAACTTAGAAAAAAAAAATCCAACTCCATAACATATCAAGTCATGAATCAAATGGTACAAAACTCAATTTCACAAATTTATTTAATCTTCGATTTGTAGATTGAGTAACAATTTAACCCTCTATGGATTGGATCTCTATTTGCACAAATATAAGAAGATGAAAAGACAAGAAAAAAAAAATCCAAGAGACAAAACAAAAATTGAATTAAAATATATAATCACTACAAAAAAAACGCTTATTATCTACGGGTAAAATCCGTAGGTAATGCACTCACCTAAACAAAATATTTGTATTTATTACAACCCCCTCCCTTATTTTTTATTATTACCTAGGACCCCCTCCCCTTTATATTATAATTTTATTATTTATTATATTTTCGAACTTCGAATCACTACAAAAAACGCTTATTATCTACGGGTAAAATCCGTAGGTAATGACAAAAATCCGTAGGTAATGTCACTTTACCTACGAATTTCTTTCAAGTAGAAAATCAGTAGGTAATTTGGTCGTAGGTAATTACCTACGGATTTATAATCCGTAGGTAATGCACTCATCGGAATTACCTACGGATTATAATCCGTAGGTAATGCACTCACCTTAACAAAATATTTTTATTTATTACAACCCCCTCCCTTATTTTTTATTATTTGTATATTTATATATTTGTATATTTATATATTTATATATTTTATATTTATATATTTACACGAATTAATATAAGTATAATTTTGTTGTAAATTATTATTAGAATATCCTAATAGTTTAGTGGTTGAAGTATCAATTTTCAACTTTAAGATGCTATGTTCGATTCTTACTAGTGACAATTCTTTTAGTTTAATATAATTTACCTACGGATAATAATTCAGTAGGTAATTACCTACGGATAGAATTTCGTAGGTAATAGGCTTTTTTTTGTAGTGAATTATTATTAGATTAAGGGAATTGTGATTGGCAAGATTTGAACCCAGTACTTCAGAGTTGGATGCTGATACTCCAACCACTAAGCTATTAAGATATTTTGATAATAATTTACAAATAAATTATATTTATATTTATCCATGTAAATATATAAATATAAAAAATATATATAAATATAAAATATATATAAATATAAAATATATATAAATATAAAATATATATAAATATAAAATATATATAAATATAAAATATATTTATATTTTGATATATTTATATATTTATATATTTGTATTTATATATTTATATATTTATATTTATATATTATGTATTTATGTATTTATATATTTATGTATTTATGTATTTATATATTTATGTATTTATGTATTTATGTATTTATGTATTTATGTATTTATATATTTATGTATTTATATATTTATGTATTTATATATCTATGTATTTATATATTTATGTATTTTTATATTTATATATTTATATATTTATATATTTATATATATATTATATTTATATATTTATATATTTACATGAATAAATATAAAATATATATAAATATAAAATATATATAAATATAAAATATATAAATATAAAATATATTTATATTTTGATATATTTATATATTTATATATTTGTATTTATATATTTATATATTTATATATTTATATATTTATATTTATATATTTATGTATTTATATATTTATGTATTTATGTATTTATATATTTATGTATTTATGTATTTATGTATTTATGTATTTATGTATTTATATATTTATGTATTTATGTATTTATATATTTATGTATTTATATATCTATGTATTTATATATTTATGTATTTATATATTTATGTATTTTTATATTTATATATTTATATATTTATATATTTATATATATTATATTTATATATTTATATATTTACACGAATAAATATAAGTATAATTTAGTTGTAAATTATTATTAGAATATCATAATAGTTTAATGGTTGGAGTATGAGTTTTCAACTTGATACTGGGTTCGATTATTGTTAGTGGCAATTCTTTTAGTTTAATATAATTTACCTACGGATTGTAATTCCGTAGGTAATTACCTACGGAATTACCACGGATGACATTACTTACGGATAATATCTGTAGGTAATGGATAATTACTCACGGATAGAATTCGTAGGTAATATCCGTAGGTAATGTACACTTTACCTACGAATTTCGTAGGTAATATCCAGTAGGTAATGTACACTTTACCTACGGATAGTAATTACGTAGGTAATTACCTACGGAATTATCCACGGATTTTCATCCGTGAGTAATATCCGTAGGTAATGTACAATTTACCTACGGATTTTCATCCGTGGGTAATATCCGTAGGTAATGTAAAATTTACCTACGAATTTTTATCCGTAGGTAATATTCCGTAGGTAATAGACTTTTTTTTTTTAATGAATTTCAATGTAATTGTGGTATCTTTATATCAGTTCCTAAATTGTTTATAACAATACTCTAAAAATGAAAATAAATGAGATTAAGATATGGACCTTACAAGTTCCATAATAAAATAAAATTTTTTATATGAAAATTCATTATTTCTATATTAATCTTTACAATTTATTAAAAATAGTTTCAAACTTCAAATTACACATTTAATATGCAAATCAAATTTCTTGAAATAAGAAATCTAATAAAATAAGAACCAAATAAAAAAATATCTAACAAAAAAAAATTATGACAACAACATTGGACAAAGGTTAATTAAAATATTTATTCCAAGCATATTTATTTTGCTACTAATAACAAAAAAAATACAAAAATTAAAATATTAATTTTTTTTTAAAAGATACAATAATATTCTTAATATAAATACAAATGTGTTATCAGATCGAACATTTAAAAAAAATAGAAGTATAAATAAAAATATTAAAATCATTCAAATAAGTTTTTATATAAAAATCATTCTAATATTTTATAAATATGTAAATTTTTTTCTTATAATAATTTTGTTAGTCTTAAATTAGCAGTTTTATTGTTATGTTGACACATGACACTATAAAAATTAGCATGCCAACGTTATCGATTTAGAAATAATAAAATTATAAAGACCAAATTAATATATTTATTAAATATTGACATAGAAAAATACTAATTTTTGTTATTTAGAGACACGAAAAAACTTATTGAGTCTTGAAAATGTTTTGTTTTCTAAAAGTATTAACAAATTATTATTCTAAAATTACTTTCGGAAAATATAAAATTTCGATTTGGGAGAAGATACAATACATTGATTATCTTTTAAGTTGTTTAGTTTGTGTTATGCGTTTAAATCTAGTATAAGTTGTAATATTATCTTTATATATTATATATTTATTATTCATTATAGATCTAATTTTGCATGTCCCAATTCTTTATTAATATTTAAATAATATTTTTCTACTTTGTTCACCATTCTTTAAACCATTTTTTCACCTTGGTCAATTTTTTACTCCTATTTTCTCGCAACCATTTTATAGAATTTTTTTTTTACTCATTAACTTTCAAGTGAATATTTGATGTGATATTCGTGGATTTATTAAATTAATATGTAATAAAAGTTATGCATAATTGTCACTAAAATCACTTTTTTTTGTCTACTTTAGAAAACACGTTCTGGGAATGATGAAAAAAGATTAATAATGTAAATTTAGCGTTCAATGCTTAATAAATACATAACAACTTAAAATATAATAGACATCTAATTTTTTACAAATTTTTTTACCTCTGCAATGTATTTTTCTGAATTAAAATTTCAACATTTAAAAAAATACTTTTTTAAATATTAATTTATCAAGAATACTTTTCAGAATGATACATTTTTTTAACACTTTCAGAAAAAAATAATTAGAATAATATTTTTTAACGCTTCCAAAAAAGGAATTTTTGAAATTTTCAATTTTTTAAGACTTTCAAAAAATATCTTCAAGAAAAATATATAAGAACAAAATAAAAAATAAATTAATAATGTGGAAGGTATAAATAAATATCAATTGATATTGAAAATAGAAATTGGGTGAGGCAGAATAATGGGCCGAGAGTGGTATGGTAGCCCAGCTCAGCCCAGCCCAGCCCAGATACGCACGGAATGGAGAAAGTAAAGTATAAGCGTTCCTCGTTCTCTTATTGTATCTCTCTCTTCCATTTGGTTCTCTCGCTCGATAGATCTCAAGCTTCAGGTACGAACCCTAAGCCTAGACCTCTTCTATAAGCCTTTTCAATTTCATGTCTCGCATGCTTTCATCTCAAATGTCTTATTTTTTCCCGCTCAGTTTCCTCGCTTCATAATCCTCTTCACTGGATCATTATCCGAAAATCTGATAGACTCCGGTTAGGACCGGACGTAAATTTTTTTTTTCTCGGACTTTTAGTTTTTTATTAATTGATGCAGCCAATTAATTTCATGGTTACGGATGTATTTGATTCACTTTGCATTTCTTTTGTGCAAATTTGATTTCACTACCAAAATTTTGTCTTGAAATTCTCCTAATCTTCTGTAAACTGGTTTTTGTGACAATGCTTTACGTTCTCTGTTCTTTCTATGCACAGTGATTCCAATGAAGAAATTCGTTTGGCCTTTTGTGATGTATTTTATCGTGTAAATTATATCAGTCATAAATGTCTTTTACATAATCGCCCAACCTCTGTAGGCTTATTAATATTTGGATTCTGGATAGGTCTGAAAAGTATTCCCACATGCAATATAGGGGTCTTGTGTTGATAATTTTCGGCTTATGTATCGTTTCATATGATTTGACTCCTCATTATTTCTGTTTTCTTAAGTTTGTAATGTTAATCAATGTAATATCTCCTGAATCTAGCATTTGGATTTATTTATATTTGTTATTGGGGGTTGCAATCTAATTTTTTTGAGTCTCGAATTGTTAGGTTGTTTTAACATTTAACCATCATGGAATTTTCGTCAAAGGGATTTCCATTGCTATGTTCACGAGTTTGTAGGAATTTAGTTGATTTACCTCTCTGACCATCATGTTTCCATGCTTTTTATTTTGTGCCTGTGCAGTTTCGTGTGAGATCAACCTTGATTGATTTTTGCAATTTTATTGTGTCATGCCATTTGCTTATTCGGGCAGGAATGTCTCTGCCATTCATGTAGTCGTTTTTTTCCCCTTTGAATTTTGACTTATTTATTCTTTTGTTTGTTAATCTATTCTGCAGTCATGTCAGGCAAGTATATCGTGTCTGCTGTTCTTGGATCATTTGGGATTGCATGGGTTTGTGATTATTATATTTCTGACAAAAAGATTTTTGGAGGTAAGTTGGTGTTTTCCACCGGAATCAATTTGCTTTGTGGCTGTTTAATGTAACTGCTAACTTCTTTCTTCAGGTTCTACCCCTGGCACTATTACAAACAAAGAGTGGGCGGAAGAGACTGACAAAAAATTGCAGGCGTGGCCTCGTACTGCTGGTCCACCAGTGGTTATGAATCCCATAAGTCGGCAAAATTTCATTGTGAAGTCTCAGTCAGAGTGATAATTTTTGTTGATGAATTTTGAGTTAATTGGTGCACCTTGGTCTTGGAATATGTTTCCATAAATGATGATCATGTTTGAGGTAAAACTCTTGCAGTTCAATTAGTAGTTCGATGTTTTAACATGTGAATGTTTATTTGCTAAATAAAAGGTTCTTTAAACAATCATATGGTTGATTAATTCATATTCTTGTATTCAAATTCTATGTTTAGTCTATACCTTGGTATGAGTGTTAGTCAATCCCTGAAATTATAAGCATATGTGTGCTAAAAATTATTACTAGCGGTTTATGTTGCGATTCTTTCTGCCCAGCAGTTGTATATGTTACTCTCGGGTGCTTTTAGGCAGCATCATTCGGTAAGAGCAACCAACTTTGGATTGTTTTCCCTTGCTGTACAATTGTAAGTGTGGTATGAGAGTAACAATTTGTAGGTATATGTTCTGAAACAATCCTGAATTCATTGATAAGTACATAGTATTCAAATTTTATAACACGTCAGGACAAATAGTGATTGATTGAATTTTTCGATGTGCGGGAAATGTTAGTATTAGTTTGCATTATATTCATTCTCAGTAATTTGTCTTTTTTTAGTACTGAGAGTAAGTTTTAGCCTAGAGCATGAACTACTCTTCAACAAGAAAACAACACGCACAAGTCTTATTCTTCATAAGGTTGAAAATTCCTGTTTTACATAAATTTGTGTTTTGCTAACTTTAGAAATTGAAGTGTTGGGTGGCGGCTACAGAATACCACATCCTTGACCCGTCGTAATGTGATAGACGGTGTGTTTGGGAGGAAATAATAGAGTGAATAGAAATAGTTAAGTAAAAGAGAAAAATAGATGTTTGCTTCAAGAAAAATTAGAATAGAGAAGAAATAGAAATATAACAAATATTTTTGAAATAAAAATTGATTGTGGAAAACTGATATGAATATTGGGGATTGGCTCCAGGAGAATGCAATACTGATTACAAAATCAACTATTTAAAATTAGAAAAAAGTGAAATATATATTCAACAGAATCCAAGTTTCATTGATTTTGTAGTTAATGACTGTAGTTGCACTTTTTCCTACTGCTTTTCCTCAATTTAGTAAAGGCCAATTCATTTATACAAAATCGCCACTCAATTACGAATCATTGTTGGAAAAGAAATGATTAGTAGTAGGGGGTGTGCAAGCGTACCAATACCACCTGGTTTAGCTCTGATTTGCAGAATCTGTGTTTATGAGCCTGCGTTTTAGACGAGTTGATTATGTCAGGTCTGGTTCCGAGTCGAATAACTCAGATATTATTATCCGTCCAATAAATAAACTTTTTTTTTTTCAAGATTTGTATTTGATGTGCAAAATTCTGTGGACTGATCCATGGGCCAAAAAATATTATGCAATTATTTATATAAAAAATTAAAGGCTATCATTAAATAAAAAGAATGTTTTTTTCCCTCATTCTTTAGCTAAATTTTTTCAAAGGAAGTATATTAGTCACAATTGAAACTAAAATACATCAAGATATAAATTTAAACCTTTTATATTAAAATTCACGTTCTTATACAAAGTACTTAGTACTGGACTCAATTTTTAAGAATAGACTCGTAATTCTCACAGTATATATAGGCTTAATGTATCAGCGGATTCATCTACCCACTCCTACTTCTTATTAAGAACAATGAAAAATAAATTTATCTTTAAGTTTCTTATGATGGGACGAGAAATAGACTATTAAATTGAATTATGGATTCATTAAAAATAAATGGAAAACATAAATAAAAAATAAATAAATAAATTTAAAAATGAATTTTAACTCATTGATTTGAAAAAAAAACTAATTTATGAAAAGTTATTCGAAATGGACTACTATGGGAAAAAAATGTTGTTATTAATAAAATAATATTGATAATTGATTACCAATGACACCAAATGAGTTCACCATTAAATTTCTTTGTTGATATTTACAGAAAGAATAAATTGCGGGATTTGTTTATTTATATTTCTCTCCACCTCTATTTTCAACTCTATCAAACACTTTTTCTTCGTCTATGTTATTTTCTATCTTTCCTCAAGAACAAATCAGAGATTTCTAGTATGGATTTATATCATTTCAGTCACTAGGCACAAGGTTTTTTTAGCTTCTCAAACTTAGGCTTCACATAAATTTGTAAAAATTTTGTTTATTAAACTGAAATTTTCACTCGTCATATCGTTACAGTTAAAATATTAAAATAATTAAAGTTAGGCTACATAAATATTAGTTTGAACTACTTTCAATAAAGTTGTAAGTTTTTATAGACTTATGATAAATTTGTGAAAGATTTAGTTAACTATTATTTTATTATCATAATATTCTTTCTTCAAAATTATTATCTTAAACATAATTAAAAAATAAAAAATTAATATAATTTTAAAATTTACAAAACGACATATATTTATAACAACATTTTTTTTAAAAGACCAATAATTATGTAGAAACATAAGGAATAAAATATATGTAAAAGTATAGAACTGAACATAACTAAGTATAATATAATTAATTGAACAATCTACGTTGACAAGATTTTCTTTATTTTCCCTAGTTTTCTTTGCGCCCGAATATTATTACACTGCTATTATTAGCTCTTGACAAAATAAGTAAAAAAATAGCTGAAATCCAATATTCTCTCCAAACACAAACAAAGAAAATAAATCATATTTGGTGAACTTAAATATAAATAAATTTTCAAAATTTTAAACATTATTTAATGGTACTATTTAAAAAATATCTTTATCTTTAAACCTAAACATCATTCGCAATAAAATATAATTTAAGGATAATTTAGGGAAAATTTTATCTTTATTGTATAGAACAATAATTTAAAATGAACTTAATTATTATTCTAAATTAATGTGAAAGTAGTTAATTTTGATCCTAATGAAGTTAAGTAATATATAGATTAATTTACTGAACTTAAATATTCACTTTCGTAGGTTTTATGGGGGAAAATTTTTTGTACAAGGAGAGAGATATTGATTTAAGTTAATTTGTTTGTGTTCAACGACAGCACATTCATAATAATAAAAAGAAATGACGTTGCTTGCATTATAATCTTGGGTTGGAGTATGTATGTGATCGGATATATGTTAGATAATTGAAGCATTACCTATCATTTATATATTTAATTTAGTTGATTTTAGATTTATAAATAATTTGTGTTGGATTAAATTGTGTTCAGATAAAATATTCAATCATTGAATAACTTCAAAATCTTTTTAAACTAACATGTTTAGAATTATCTTTAAATCTGTACCTCTATATATATGATAAAAACACATAAAGACACATACTTCAATTAATCATAATAAAACATTTTTTCTAAATATCTTTATTCCTAATACTCACTTTTTCATCAATCCTATTTCATATCCACCATTTATACCATCACATAAAATAAAATAAAAACTGTCATTTAATGTTAATTAAAAAGATATAATGTTAACTAAAAGTGAAGGGATATTGAGCGCAATAAGACTAAAACACAAGATGTCTCAATCTAATTTGTTCAACTTAAGACACAAATTTGCAAATATAGGTATGTGATCAAAGGATCTAAAATAATATTTGGGCAATGAAAGGTTTTGTGATGTATGTCAAAGCAGTAAAACATATCCACATCATGCATGTAGACAATTCAGATTAACAGTCTGTGACTGTGATCTCAACAATAAAGTAAAGCTTTCAGTTTCAATGGGAACAGAATTGATTGATAGGTGCATATTTCTCCCAAATGAGTAAATACAATATGAAAACTGTGGACTAGATTATATGCAATAGGAACTGATATATCTTGTTTCAAAGTCTCTTGCACTTATCCTCCACCAATCTAACACAGTGTCCAACTCAAATAGATAAGCTAGCTGCCATTTCACAACTAACCCTTTGGACAAACTAGAAAGGTGAAGTTCTATCAATGCCTGAATTTACTTTGATGCACCACCTGAAATAACTCCTCATACAAGTCTACTATTTAATGTTGTTGTATAATCATCAGTTCCTCTGTATCCATGAGAGCTTTGCATACATCAAATCTTCAACGGTGTAGACTACTGCACATAATAGAATACTTGAGTGCCTTGCTGTTCTCAGTTTTGTTTTATCTCTCGAAGCATTTCCACTACATTCTTCATTTTCGGTCGTTTGGCTGGTGTGTTGTCAGTGCACAGCAATGCAACCTTCAAAGCAGCAAGCATTTCTTTCCTCCAACCAAAGGAAACTGTGCTAAGCCTGGCATCCAATATCTGCTCTGGAGTTTCCCCTCTTACAGGAGCACTGTGTACCCATTTCACCAAATCTACACCTTCACCAAAATCCTCATCAACTGGTAGTCTAGTTGTGAGAATCTCCAACAGAACAACACCGTAGCTATAAACATTTCCTGGTGCTGTCACTTGCATAGTATATGCATATTCTGCATTGCAGAAGAAATGTAGCATGAAGTATGCTAAACACAATAAAAGTAGAGTTTAATTTGTATGCACTGACCGTATAAAAAGATTAACCACGTCAACCAATTATATATATCAACTCAGTAACATGATTTTTAATGTAATATTGTAAAATTAATTAACTAACCATACATGACGATGTGTAAATAGATGATGTAAAGACTATTTACCATAAAAGTTAATAGGAAGAGTAGATGGGAGAATTGCATGCCAGAAAGTATCATACCTGGTGGTATATAACCAAAGGAACCAGCAACTGCACTAATACTTGCAGTGCCTTTGGTTGGATCCAGAAGTTTTGAAATCTCTATCTCCCCAACTAACGGCTTGAAATTTGCATCCAAAAAAACATTGCCAGAAGAAATGTCAAGATGGATGATCGCCACATGATGAAGGAAAGTCAAACCTTCTGCCACACCAATAGCAACGGATAATCTAGAAGGCCAGTCAGGTTGATATTCAGGCTTCCTGGTAGATTCATGAAGAAGCTGAGCCAATGTTCCATTTGGAAAATAATGATGCAAGAGAAGAGCAACATCTTCATAAATGACATAGCCAATGGGACGCACAAGATTATCATGACAAACTTTGCTCAGTCTCTCAAGTTCTCTAATCATCTTGTTCTGGTGGTGGATTATTGTCTTGTCTACAGACTTCAATCTCCTAACAGATAAGACCACCCCAGAAGGCATGATTGCCTTGTAAACTGTGCTGAAAGTTCCACTGCTGAGCTTATTAGATTCTTTCAGAGTTGCTTTAACAACAGCATCAAGGTCTACTGCTTGTCTGAGATTTTCAACAAAAACAGTCCCTGCAATTATAGTTGGGTTGTCATTGGTACTATCATCAACAATCCCAGCATCTTTGGCTACTTTTTCTTGCCTCTCTCTGATCATGAACAGCAAGACAACAATAGTTACTGACATAAAAACAGCCAAACCAGAACCAATTACAGCTAGTATGATTCGGTAAGAAACCCGGTGATGGTAAGCCTTGTGATCATCATAAAGGTCTCCACATGAAGAGTTCAAAGGTTCTCCACAAAGCCCTTTGTTTCCCAAAAAGCTTGAACTAGGACTCTTCTGGAATGGTACAAATGTTGGCACTGGGCCTCCTAACAAATTATTTGAGAAGTTCACCTCTATCAAGCTCAACATTCCCTTAAGCTCAGATGGGATATTACCTGATAGCCGATTGTTTGAAACATCCAGAGAAACAAGTTTGTCCAGTTTTCCCAATTCAGGGGGCAGTGGTCCATGAAGATGATTGAAGCTCAAATTTAAAGCTATCTGTATGTTCCTAATGCGACCAATTTCAGGAGGAATAATTCCAGTCAAAATATTACTGCCCAATTGTAATTCAAGTAGTTTTGCACAATTTCCAATTTCATGGGGGATCTCTCCTCTGATGAAATTCTGATCCAACAGCAAGTACTGCAGCCGAGTGATATTGCAGATGTCATTTGGTATTGTCCCATTGAATCTGTTGTTACTAATATCAAGCTTGTTAAGACTTTTGCAACTCAGAATAGATATTGGAATATCGCCAAATAGGCTATTTCCAGAAAGAATTAATTCCTGAAGATTCATGAGTTGTCCAAAGTCTTGTGGAATTGTTCCAGTAAATCCATTTGAAGCCAAATTCAAGAGGGTAAGATTAGAACACTGAGCGAATTCAGACACAAGCTCACCAGAAAGATTATTATTATCAGCTTCGAAGTAGGTTAGGCTACTAAGATTTCCAATTGTCTTAGGAATGCTACCTATTAGATGGTTGTTTCCAATTCTAACGCTGGAAAGGGCTTTGCAATTCCCAATTTCCTTTGGAAGTTCACCACTAAAATTATTCTGGGTGAGAACCAGAACTTCTAGCTTCCCCGGAACGAAAATGCTGGCTGGTATTGGACCTTCAAGCTGGTTAGAGTGCAAGTTAAGTATTTGAAGCTCAGAAATGGTGCCTAGATCATCTGGAATTCTACCATCTAAACGGTTCTCATAAGCAGTGAAAAGCCTCAGATTGGTTAAATTTCCCACCCAGAAAGGTATAAGACCACTCAAATGATTACTAGAAATTTGAAAATCTTGCAATTTCTCTAAGCCCTGAAGTTCCATTGGTATTTCTCCCACAAGCACATTATTGGAAAGGTTCAATGATTTGAGGTTTCTGAGACCACCCAACTGAGGTGGAATTGAACCTTGGAACTTATTTGAAGACAAATCTAGAACTTCAAGATCAGATAAATTTCCAAAAGCAGGAGGAATCAATCCATCAAAGTTATTATTTGAAAGATCAAGCCGCTTCAATGCTTTGAGGTCAGACATTAAAGTTACATTACCTCGAAGATTCCGGTGAGACAGATCCAAGCCCTCCACCATTGAGTGGTTACCACAGTTGACACCTTGCCAAGTGCAGTAATCTGAGTTGTTTGCATCCCCCCATCCAGGGACTCTAAGCTCTTGGTTGATGGCCTGTAATATAGCTTGCTCCTGAAGCTCAGCACCAACAAGCTCAAAACTTGACAGATACCAAGCTAGCAGAATGTGCAACAAGCATAGAGTTTCCATCACTGTACACCCTTCTCTGCTGATGTGAAGTGTAAGTGTTTCCACTCCACTCAACAGTATTTTTCTCCAATAGCTAAAATTCTTATCAACTCTACCAAACACTGTACCGCAACATTAACAACCTTTGCCTTGTGTTCTTTTCACCATAAAAGTCCAACTTACCATCACAATGAACTTTCCCTTTTCTTAAATGTGAGGATTTGGAACCAAGTATCCCTTCGATTCTCTTGCTCAGCGAGCTGCCGCTGCTGCTTCTTGCACCGCTTTGAGGGAAAAACCTTTAGAACCTTTCACCAGCCCTAAAATGCAGTAAGTAACCCCAGAAAAATATCAAAATTTACGAGAAAACTCATTTGAGATTTGCGCAAAGTGAAAAATAGAGCCATTAAATTACTGCTATTACACAGTTCCGGAGAAAATAAAGTAAACAATTGGAGGGAAAAAAAAAAATAAGAACAAGCTTTCACTTTCAGAGGAAGGAAAACAAGAAGGATAACTAAAAGAGACAAAAGGAGAAGCATTATGAACCGTGGGTTGCATATGAAACATGCCATACTTGGTACTAGAAGAAAACATGAACTGCAGAAGCAACAGAGAAAGTAACTACAGCGATGCAGAGGAAAACGTCTTCACTCTTGAGTGAACAGTGAGTAATCAAATGGAAGAAGGAGGTAAGAGAGAAAGAGTTCAATGCTGTATCGCAGGGTTCACGGACCAGGTGTTTTCTTATGTCTCAAATAGAGAGAGGGAGAGAGAGAGAGAGAGAGAATGGGAATGAAATTCTTTGCCATGTAGATGTAGGCATCACGAGAAATGGGCAGTCATCACTGAATGAAAGCTGCATAAAACTCCTGTCTCATTGCATGTGGGGCACACTTTAACACAGCGTTCTCAGGGACGGAGCATAATGCATTGGGCGCCATCAATCCTCATCCTCAAAAATCAAATCTTTATTTTCCAAAGTTCTAGTTTTGCATTGGTGAAAAACGAAAAGAAAATATAAAAAATGCGCAACCCCAAATGAAATCTAAATAGGAAAATGCATTTTTCATTGATAAAATAAAGTTTAGTCCCCCTTCACTGTGCATTATGTTGACATTAACTACCCGACTAAAGTTGGTTTGGTTTAGTAGTTATAGAAAATCAAACCACATTCTTTGAAAAATTATCTGTTTTTGATTTTCACTGTCATTCCAATAGTTTTTGTAAGTTATAATTTCCTCAATGAGTTATTGTGACAAAAATTTTAAACCTTTTATGGAGTTTTGTGGAGCACTGAATCTGTGTAGCATTTAATTGGTTGTGACATACTTAAAGTAAATCCGCAAATTCAAAGAAGGGATGGTAGATGGATGTCAGAACGTAGCAAATGTTTTGTTGGTCATACAATGAGGGGAAAAGGACCCGGATGGGAATTAATTTGCTGTGCCCTATTGCTTCTTCTAAAAATTATAATGGATTTGAGAAGGCAATAAAGTTAACTGCAAAGATCACAATACCTAATCCTAGGATTCCCTCCATGTAGGCTTATTTTATAAAGGCAATGAGCCTTACCTTTTTCAGAATATATTTCAATTTATGTTTTAAAATAAATATCCCTAGACAAATTTGCAGAGAGTTTCTGGATTTCTGGGAGATGTCTCTTTTTTACCTCCCCCATCTATTGTCCTATTCATGCATTTTACCTTCACCTACATGATCAAAGTTTTCTTCTTCCCTATCAACTTGCCTACGTTTCTAGCATTCATGAACCCTGCTGTCTCTTCAATCATGAAAGGGAAATATTAACAAGTATGCATAATAAAAGGGTTTCGGTGTATGTTAAATCAGAAAGATAACTAGTAACATCTGGTTTATATCTGAGTCATAGTATTACACCATGTAGCTTGAATGGAGCCATGCTGATTCCATCACCATTCACCAAGTTACAGTGTCAATTATAAGGTACTTGGATGTATTTTGAACTTCTCTCAGTTCTCTGTGAAACTTCTAATTTCATTAATTCAAAGCATTCAAACTTCGAAGTTTTCACATGATATAGAATGTCAATTATAAGGTACTTAGATTCATTTGCTGCCTACACTTCACCTAATCTTTATTTGTTGAAATGGCATATGCATGATTGAGCAATACGGTGCTTTGGTTTCTACCTTCACCTTCGAGCTAAGATCAGAAGCTTATCTTTATTCTCGAAGACAACACTAAACACAACTCTAATACATATTGGACTCTATGCAATATTGCCATTGGAAAGCCAAATCTCTTGAATGCAGTGAATAAAAAGGTCTTAAATATAATAATAACGAAGAACAATATCACAGTGTCATGGCTGTCCAAAGCAGTGTCACAGTGTGTGTGAGACAAACCATATGCATTCCAACAAGTGGCATAATTCTATGTTATACCCTATTTTTTTCTGAGATTTTTAAATGGCAGATAATACATCACATTAACTAGGTACAACATTAACTACTATTCATGTTAAAAAAATCACGAGGGTCAAAAAGCATACTACTTTAGAAAGCATATTTTGTCCTTTAATTGTTCTCTCTATGTTATCATTACCATCATTAATTACTACACAACCTACCACTGGATACTTTATATGAAAGATTATTTTATTACAGCAATTATAATCAGATATTTATACTCTTCTTTTTTTCATCTTTCTGACCTTTTTGCGTCATTTCTTTAACTTTATCATACAATATTAAAAACCGTATTTTTCACTATCTTTATCTTTCTTTTCACTCCTACGTCCAAAATTAGGATGTATATGTATGATTTTTCATTACTTTATAATATAGAGATGAAGTAGACAAAAGTTTTGAAGAAAGTCAATATCAATGAACATGGTTGTGGACCATATGTCTGCAAAGAAAGCCGAGAATGAGGAAAATGTTACAGTTTTCTCTTGCACAGCATGATAACGACGAACGATCACATTCACCAGAGATGTTACAGACCCAGATTTTAAATCCACAAAGGCATGGGAAAATGAGGAGAAAAAGTAAACTGTATATGCAATTATACTAAAAATGCTTCCACTAACATGGATAAAGGGCACATAAAATTCAAATTTCTATGATTTTATATCTTTTCTTTATCCTTAAAGATTTTTTTCTTTTCCTTTGAATCCTGCAGGTTGGTGTTGTTATTATTATCTTCTTCACTGTAAAAATGTAATTTTAAAATGTGAAGGGTCGTTTTAATCTGAAATAACTCGTGAGAAGGAAACAAAGTGAAAGTAAAGTTGTAACTAATAATTGCACATTTAAACAACCCAAATTAGTGTCACTAATTCCATCACTTGTTGGTATGGTAGTTTAAATCTAATTAAATGTGCACCACGTGGTTTATTTTTATTTGTTTCAACATGTCTCATATGGTACTAATGGATAAGTGAAATTACCTCTTGCATGTCTTAAATTTTTTAAAAATTTAATTAATTATTCATGCTACTTTATTTTATTTTATTTTATAAGTGACCTAAATTCTTCAATCAATTGAAAGAAAAAAAAATTATAAACTCAAAGCATAAATTGAAACGAATTAAAATTTTCAATTCTCACACACATTCAAAGAAATTAATTGATTGAAGCACATAAGAATAAAACATCGCAATTAAATTTAAGTAACTATTTTATGAAGAAAGAAACCTTCACTTTAGATCCATCCATTTCAAGTGTAGCGATGGAAATAACTTGGAAGTCACAATTTGAACACATTAATTGGTTCATGAATGAAATATATGACATGATTGAAGTGGTATAAAAGCAGAACATAAAATAATAATAATAAAAAAAATCAAATTAATTAATATGGTGAGTGGGGCCCAAGCAATGGGCAAGGAGTAGAGGCATCTTGCAGACAGGTAGGTCCAAATCATTCTATATGACACAATAAGGTGGCCACCACTACACATTATCATAAAAATTGAAACTTTAAAACAATGTTGCAAAATTCATATTCTTTCTTGACAAAGTTTCCCCCAACATTAACTTTCGTTTACAAAAGGCAAAGACAACATCATGGATGTCCTACCACATTAAAAAAAAAATCATTACTTTTCTTTTTTTGGCCGTAAAGTGCTTTTTCTATTTAGGTAGCCGAAATCCCTCCAAGATTTCTTCACATTTTTAAAAGTGAAATTATTCTTCAAGTTCTTATTGTAACATTTTTCAATGTTATATAGTAACCAATTGCATTTTTATTCATCTAGGGTTTGTAGTGTTGTAAAATATGTTTAACTAAATACACAAAGATCACGAAAAAACTTTTAGGTCACAATTTTATTTTATTTTTATACTATTTTTGTAAGTTATCATATACTTACCTTTATGGTTGATGGTGCGTGAGTAGGATGTACTATAGAATAAGTATATCCTACGCAATATTAAAAACTTTATATTTTTAAATTTCATTCATTGTAGTGACATATTTTGATAGAACAATATCTTCAATTGAACATGGCTTGTACTAACTTTTATAAATGAATAAACTTTATATTTTAGTCTCTTATCTTAAAAACATTAGTTACATTTTTTTTTAATTGTTAGAATCAATATTTGTTTTTGTTTTGGAACTGGTGGTAGTTTATTGCATGCAGCATTTGCTAAACAATCATGGACTGTCATATAAAGCCTAAAGTAGGGTTTGTTTTTAGATTAATTGAAATATTATAAGAGCAAAATGATACATCCCAGATTATTACTTTCTTTTAATAAAATATAGTACTTCCATTGAGTCTCACTTCACTACTCACTTCCTTGTCTTATTTTATTGATTATAATTTCATGAATAAACATGAGTTGAGTGTGTAGAGTTGAGTAGTTGGCAATTATTTAAGGGTTGAAAAGGATACCTTTACGAAGAAAAGTGATGAAACAAAATTAAAATGCAGAAAGCAGAAAGCAAATTAATGGTATGATTATGAGTAAAACGGGTGTGATGTTGCAATAATGAGAGTCTTGGAATACAAATTCCAAACAAAGAGGGAC